GAACATGTATTGATAATAATGTTCTTGCAATGATTACAGGAAAACAAAAAAATATAATGATTTATTACCTAAAACTTTAAAAAAAATTATATCCAGTACTTCTAAAAAGGCAAAAAAAAATTTTGGGGGGGTAAAAATAAAGTTCCTTAGGGGCATTCTTTTACCTAAAAATTATAGATCTTTAAACCAGTGCCTTTTTCACATCTAGCCTCTTTGCTTGGTTACTATATCATATCACTTTCTTCAAAGTATCACTTACAGACATCATTAGTCACCCATAGCATTAGAAAACTGTGTATACAACATACTAGTTTTCATGCTCATTAACCTGCCTAAAAAGCACCTAATCATAATTTACAGTGTGTAGTGAACAGAGCTTTTCTCTTATTCAATCACTATATAGAAAGAAATATACTGAACTTCTATAAGGATATCATCTATCATCCATACTGCAGCATTTACTGATTACTGCCTCCACTGAACCCCTCACATCTAAAAAAAAACATGAAATAAAATTTCATTAAAAAATAATAATAAAATAATGATAATAATAATAATAATAATAATAATAATAATAATAATAGTAATAATAGTAATAATAGTAGTAATAGTAATAGTAATAGTAATAGTAGTAGTAATAGTAATAGTAATAGTAATAGTAATAGTAATAGTAATAGTAATAGTAATAATAACAATAATAATAATAATAATAATAATAATAATAATAATAATAATAATAATAATAATAATAATAATAATAATAATAATAATAATAATAACAATAACAATAATAATAATAATAATAATAATAATAATAATAATAACAATAATAATAATAATAATAATAACAATAATAATAATAATAATAATAACAATAATAATAATAATAATAATAATAATAATAATAATAATAATAATAATAATAATAATAATAATAATAATAATAATAATAACAATAATAATAATAATAATAATAACAATAATAATAATAATAATAATCACAAGTTCATTTTATGACATAGCAATATTGGTTTATCCTGGGGTTATATTCTATTGGTTCTGATATATACAGAGAATAGATGTCCATATCAAATCATTAGAAATAAGTATAGATAATAAAAGCTAAAGTATGTGGCTCTTTCCAATTCATACTTGCCTCCAAAGATGTGTTGACAGCAATATTTCAGCACAACCTTTATTTACTATGAGCAGTTAATATGCATTTCTTTAATGAGTGCCTAAAGTTCAATAAGAATAATAATACAAACAATTTATTATTTGTTATTAAAACCATATCAAGTTCATGGTTTATGATTCATAACCTCTTTTTTTTTAATATCATCATATCTCTTTTATCATTTTAACCCATGTCATGTGGAATTACTTTTTAATCATCTGAAGAGAAATAAAAATAAAAATAACACAACAAACTTTGGTTCATGTTGATACTCCTTAGCCTGACTCTGTCCTCGCACTCCACAGGTTAAAATGTAACGAGATTCAATGTAAATCACATATACGAGGAAATATATAAAATCAAATATAATCATTAACCACTAATAATTTTTTGTCAGTAATATTTTGACCTATACAACTACTTGTATAATATCTAAATAAAATCAATAATGCCCAGGACTGCAATATTAACAAATACCATTTTCATCTATTTAATTTTATTTATTTATGATTTACTCATTACAGAAACTTGACTGAATACTGTGAAACAAGAGATTTCATGATCATTATACAGTCTAGTACCAATAGAAAACTTTAGAAGTAGTCCTAATTTTACGACTTTTTGGCACACCTTAATATCACTATTAACACTGGGTGTAATTTTTCTCCCAAGATATAATAAACAAAAATATATGCCACAAGCTTGTTGTACAGTATTAGTCAAAGTTACTGGAGTAAAAGCTACACAAAAGCATACATTTTAAGCTTCTTCACAATCTGAAGACAAAACAGCATTCTCTTTTACATTATAAAATACACTCACATTTACTTCATAAGATGTTGTCCATCAATGCACAGCCTTCACTTTAGATATCAATTTAATATCAGTTCGTATTCAGAGAGGCTTGCTATGCTATACTAAGAAAGTGTTAATGTGAAAGGATCAGAAATATAACAGGAAAGCTAATTTCAAGGAATTAAGTTCTCACAATAACTGCCATGAAAGATCTATTGCAGACTATGAAGTGAAATATATTAGGAAAAAATAACAATTCTTGCTTCAGAAAAAATACACATATTTCATCCAAAATCCTGTATCAAAGCCTACTCATGTCATTCTCATTCATATTCCCTATCTTAAGAAAGGGTCTTCCACTTTTATTGTATGGAACTGTAATTCTTACTGAGGCTTTATATTATGAATGTTTAACTCATGTTTTGTTTATACTCAGATGGTTTTAATAGTGCTTAGTTACCAAAGAGTTAATCCCTTGGTCTACCTAACCTCACCTGCATACCACTTTCTCTGATTTTGCAGGGAAAAAAGTTTTCATTTCTAATTACTGCTATCATTTTTCTAATACTACTATCATTATCATTTTAACATCATAATTATCATAACATTATTAACAATAATAACAGTAAAGAATATAAAACACTCCTTTCCAAAAATTCAAAGAATGGGCTATAAAGATGAGATCAAGCTGGCCTAGTAACTGACTAAGGTGACTAAGTACTTCCCGGGCTACCCGTGTGTAAAGAAAGTTAACCCAACCGGGAAGGGTCATGTGTACTGGCGTCATAACAAACCGCTTGGTCTGCGGGGTACGCCTGTACAGAGTATATGTAGCAGGACGTTCTGCTTGATGATGCAGACTCCCGCACCCAGTGTCTGGCAGTTGCCATAAATCACCAGAGTTTATCATGCTCTGAGATTTCTGTTCACCCGGCGGTGATGGGTTAAAAAAAATAAAATCACAGTGAACAGGGCATACATACATGCCCTCCTTGCATTAACAGATTAAAGCAAACATCAATAACAGCTATAACTTCCTTCAGGTAAACAAAATAGGTCTGCAGTCTGTAAAACCATACTGCCCAGCAGTATCAAAATTTTAGCAACGGAAATAAATTTATGGGAGTCTTACTTGCTACAGTTGATACTTCACACAGCAGCACCCTCTATCTATATGATGTGTTTACTTTTTGCTGATCTTTTGCATTTACAGAAGAAATAAATCATAAAACTAAAATGTACAGTGACTGGGTTTATTCAATAAACAAATAATATGTTCAGAGAAAATGTGTATGGCTATAAAGATGAGATCAAGCTGGCCTAGTAACTGACTAAGGTGACTAAGTACTTCCCGGGCTACCCATGTGTAAAGAAAGTTAACCCGACCGGGATGGGTCATGTGTACTGGCGTCATAACAAACCGCTTGGTCTGCTGGGTACGCCTGTACAGAGTATATGTAGCAGGACGTTCTGCTTGATGATGCAGACTCCCGCACCCAGTGTCTGGCAGTTGCCATAAATCACCAGAGTTTATCATGCTCTGAGATTTCTGTTCACCAGACGGTGATGGGTTAAAAAAATAAAATCACAGTGATTTACAGATTAAAGCAAACATCAATAACAGCTATAACTTCCTTCAGGTAAACAAAATAGGTCTGCAGTCTGTAAAACCATACTGCCCAGTAGTATAAAAATTTTAGCAATGGAAATAAATTTATGGGAGTCTTACTTGCTACAGTTGATACTTCACACAGCAGCACCCTCTATCTATATGATGTGTTTACTTTTTGCTGATCTTTTGCATTTACAGAAGAAATAAATCATAAAACTAAAATGTACAGTGACTGGGTTTATTCAATCAACAAATAATATGTTCAGAGAAAATGTGTATGTACATTCAATGCTAATATCTATTAACCCAATGCCACCAGAAAAATGTAGTGTTCACTATAGTATTATCTTGTCTCTACACACAGATGGCTTAGCTACCACAGAGGTAATTAGTAGACCTTGCGACCTCCCATGGTTTCATCTTTCCTTGTGTTTGTTTTTAATGAA